TGAAAATGTTTTACTATTTTTCATTTAAAAAGCTAGAGTTTCTTTTTTTTTTTTGTTTAGGGTGTATCGTTCAAATCTCTTTGAGGATGCACATGCAAGTTTGGAATCTGTGCACAAGTTCAGATAAAAAACTTAAATTGAAATATTTTTTTGTTGTGTAATATCACTTATGCGTGTCGTTGCTTTGTACCGCTGTTTTGTACCTCTCTGTATTGCTATGTACCTCTGTGTACTGCTGCTATAAACCTCTCGGTACCGATGTTGTGTACCACTATATACCACTTGTGTGTTTTTTGTCATGTTTAAATCAAAGTGTTAAATAGGTTACTATTGTGTGTCGCTGCTTTTTACCTCTCTAACCCGCTGTGTACCTCTATGTACCGTTGTTATATATCTCTGAGTACCGATGTTGTGTACCTCTATGTACCACTTTTGTGTTTTTTGTCATGTTTAAATCAAAGTGTTAAATAAGTTTCTCTTGCGCACATGGTGTTTACAACTCTAAAAAAGAAACATATGAGATGTATTGCTATTATGTTCATAATGTTGGTTTTAGTGTTCACAAAGAATATCACAGTTACTGGCCTAATTCAAAAAAAATAATATTCATGGACATTGTCTATTTGAAAGTTGTATTTAAGAATGATATTGATTGGAATTCCAAATCAAAATATAAAAAATCAAATACCAAAATCAGGTGTCCTACTATGATCATATTTCCAGTGGATAAAGATGGAATATGGACGGTGCAAAAATGTATAGAGAGCCACAATCACGAATTAACTAGGCCGGAAGATCAATATCTGCTTAGATCATGTGGAATATTAATGATGAGAAAGCATCAGTTCTTAAATCAAAGACAGAAGCCAGAATAAGAACCGTTACTGCATTTACTTACCTAGCCAATAAAGTAGGATGTTTAGAAAATGTTGAATTCTATAAGAGGGATGCATATAACTATATTCAGAAAGAGAAAAGAGCGAAGATTAAGAATGAAGATACCAATTCACTAATTGAACTTTTTAAAGATCGACTAGTTGATGACAACATGTTTGTATGGGACGTCCAAACTAATGAAGATGATAGATCGTTGAATTTCTTTTTTGTTGATGGGTTGGAGAGAATAAATTATGATCGCTTTGGAGATGTGATAATTCTTATACTAGTTATAGGCTTAACAAATATAATCTAGCGTATACACCATTTGTTGGAGTTAATAATCATTGATAGAATGTTCTTTTAGGCATGACATTTTATCGGAGGAAATAATTAAATCATTTGGTTATTTAGAACATTTTTACAAATAATGGATGATAAACATTACATTACAATATTTACTAATCAGGACCAGGCAATGACTAAGGCAATAAAAATTGTATTACCTCAGACATGCCCTAGGCTGTGCCAATGGCACATCAGTAAGAAGGCGTCATCTAATGTGTGGTGCTTCAATAGCAATAACAAAGTCAGAGGCCTTTTTTATAAGTGTTTTAAGTGTTATTCTGAGGAGGTGTTCGAGAGAACCTGGGCTGAAATGATCAACGAAGGGGACCTCCACAGCCATGACTGGTTAAAGGAGCTTTATAGAATTAGGAACAACTGGTTTACAACATTCAACAAGAGTTGTTTTCTATTAACTGACAAAGAAACATGCAAAAAGTGTTTAATAACTCACGACATACCCAATGCATAATAGAAACAAAAACGAATGATTGGTAAAGGCCTCGACATAAATTGTTCTTCTCAGCTAGTAATATAGCAAAAGCATCAACATGATTGTTGTCGATGTACTATTCCGTTATTAGTTCATCAATTTGACTTCTAAAAATAAGAACGTTCCCAGAAGAATAAATCATATGACTCCTGAAAAAATAATAATGGTCAGCAACATAAAACAGATGCGGTACCCAGGGTACAAAGAGGTACAAAATAGTATCCAGTTGGCTAGTTGTAAATAAAAACTGATCTGCATTACGAGCTACACTAAGGATCCTAGCGGGTGTTCAGTAGTTACGCAGAAGAAAGAAAAGGTTGGACAATAAGTAAATGATGAATTTCTTCACAAGCTTGGGAAGTTGAATCGAGTCATCCAGACTGAGCACCTCTTTCTTTATATCATTTGCATATTTCCTGGTGATTCGAACACTTTCTAACTCGAAATGATTTCCTCTGTTCAGCAGGCCTACGATCAGGGCAACTCCATCGACAATGAATGCTAACCTCCACTCCTTGATGATGAAGCACTGCTTCCTGATATGCCACAATAACAACTTTTATACCAACCAAACATTCTAAATGAAGCGAGGCATCAACAAAAACTAATGTAGCTACAGATGCCTCAGCCTTTCCACAAATTCTTGGCAGAATGTGTCAACCAAGTGATAACATACTTCTATGAATATCGAAGTTCTGTAATGGAAACTTATCTTTGGAACATATCCCTGCAAAATAGGTGTAGTGGATAAGACCAAAACACTAACATTCACTATAGGTACACATAATCAGTACACATGGGTACATAGCATAGGTACCTTAGCAGTGCCCAGAAGAAGTATATAGAGGTACATAGAAGCGATAAACAGAGGTACAAAAAAGCACACAAGAAAGGTACACATGCGCGAAAAAATGGAAGAAATCATCACTGAAATGTACTGCTAATTTCTTCATTCGAAAGTAAACAATGGACATCAACCACAATGTTACACACAGGTACAGAGTACAGAAAAACACAAAACCTAAACCCTAACATGATATTTACAGAACAAATAGAACCAACATAACTGGTGAAAAAGTATTTATCTGGGTAAGAAAAAATTGACTTTAGCCATGGCTTGTGTTTCTACAATGAAAATCTGGAGCAAACCGAAGGAGCTTTAGAAGAAGATGAAGAGCGCCTGAAACAAGAGAAACTGAAATGCCTCGGCCAATTTTGAATTTTTCAATGTATGACCTCGATTTTCTTCTCAGTAAAAAGTAACTTTTTGCCTGTGGTTGAGGTTGGGCAATCGGGCCACGCGGTAAGTTGGAAAAAAACGTGCTAAATAGAAATGGTGGGGTCGTCAGGCCACAGGTGGCGACATTTTATTTGTGTCCGAACATAGAGCTACGTCCGGAGTCCACACCAAAAAATTTTTCCTGTTAAAAGTCAAATTTTCTTCTAAATCTAATAAAGAAAAGTCATTTCTAATATTTTCTAACCAAATCTTTTTAAGTTTACCTCTACCTTTCTTAACATAAGTCAAATATAATACATTTACTTTCCTAACGGGGTTATCGAAAGGATGTCGTTTTATGTGACCAAACCATCTAAGGCAACTCTCTCTAATCTTATCTTCCACTTGAGCTACTCCAACCTTTTCATGTATATGCTCATTTCGTATCTTGTCTCTAAGAGTAAAGTCACTCATCCACCTGAGCATCCTCATCTCTGCAACACTTAACTATATATTAAGCTTCTCTTTTAATGGCCAACATTCTGCACCATAAAGCATTACAGGTCACTCTGCCATCTTATAAAATTTTCCCTTAAGCTTGAGAGGGATTTTTCTATCACACAACATGCCCGATGCATTCCTCCACTTCAACCATCCAACTTGAATTCTACTAATAATATCCCCATCTATTTCACCATCAATCTGAATGATAGACTCAAGATATCTAAAACGTGTACTCTTATTAACGACTTGATCGCCCTAAGTCACAATCCCCTCACTAGATCTATTATTACTAAAATTACACACCCCATGCATACAGTTTTAGATCTACTCAAATGAAAGCCTTTAAACTCTAAGGTTGACCTCTGTAATTCAAGTGACAATTAATTAAAATATTATTAAAATGTTATATTAATAATTTAATTATTATAAAATATATAATAACTAATATTATATTTAATTTAAGATATAAGATATAAATTATATAAATTAAATTTATAATTATATTTAATATAATTTATTAAATTAAATTTATCAAAAAATATACTTTGATTTTTTTTAGTTTTGAACCCTATTTAAGCGAGTCATGCGCTTAAACTCTAACCACACACTGCAACCAAAATTCTGCTCAATTTATAATAAATTTAATATTTATAAAATAGTCTACAAAAATATATTACATACATAAAATAATGTTTTCTAGGAAATTACCAAAACATTTAGCATTTTTAAAAAAACGCCAAATAATTTGCCATTTTTCAAAAAATACCAAATTATCTCATAATTTTTCCGAGCCCATAACTGTCCAAACATAACATAAAAAGCATACATAACATCAAATCTTTATCCCTCTACGCAAGGTCGGCTACATGAATACTTTTTCTCCATTGTGTCCAATAAAAAGTTAAATTCTCATTTAAATCTAATAAAGAAAGGTCATTTCTAATATTTTCTAACCAAGTCTTTTTAGGTCTACCTTTACCTTTCTTAACATAAATCAAATCTAATACATCTACTTTCCTAAGGAAGGCCGCCGTATGGAAAAAATATTAAACTTCATGCTGCTGACCAAGGTACTCTTCTTTGAGATCCTACTGACCATGCCCAACTTGGATGTAGCCATATATATCTAAAATTTTCAAGACCAGATACCACCTATGTTGTGGATATTGTTAGTCCGTTTATGCATAGCACTACACACCTACATCTAGCTGCAGCTCATGGAATTATAAAATATATCAAGGGAACACCTCACCAAAGACTATTTTTCATATATATATACGACTGTATATGCTTGTACAAAATAAGAGAAACAGAGCTCTCCCTCCACCGATTAAATTTGTGATAATCCAGCATTTAAAAAAATGATTCTCTTCATCTTCATTGAAACTGAATGAAGTAAAACAGATAGACTTTACCCTAAAACACGTAAAGAAAAAAAGCATTACATTGACTGAATTTTCAGTAACTTATTGAATAATCTGAAATATATTTAAAACAGAGCTATGAATGCAATGTTCATTAAAAAGAATTCAGCTAATTCAGCGATTGAAAATTTTTCTATACCTTCTATATTCCGATGGAGGAACTAGTTTCCGCAAAAGAGAGACCATAACAATTGTTGAGGTTAAATTGTCAAGGACTGAACTAAGGAAGAAAGTAACAAAACCTACCTGGAAAATTAACCAACACAAATTTAAAAAAAATAGAAATTCTCTAAGAATATAGCACAAATATCTGTTTAGTAGAAGCACAAAACTTACTAGTAATATAAATTGAAGTTATAGGAATGAAAATATGATAGATGGATAACGAAATCCATGTAACAAATATTGAACTTCATTTACTAGTTAAGAATAATTTATTTAGAATAATACATGGTTAACAAGGAAGACTAGCAGCAAATTGATTTCCAGCACTTCTGTTAAGTAACAGATTTTTAACAAAAAAAAATACTGTTTTGCATCTCCTAGAACTGATCTATTTATGAAAACAAAGGTATAATGAATCTCCATGTTTGGCTCAAGCTCTTAACTTGCGATATGGCTCTGACAAATCTTGGCTCGGCGATATTCTAATTTTTAGAATTTTCTATGTTCATGGAAAAAATATTGTAAAATATTGATCATATTGTCAATTGTGTAACAAGGTACATTTCTAGTTCCCAACTAATAAATATTGCTAGAAAATTAAGACTAAGCATTACAATGAAGCAAGGCAATAGAAGTATGTGCCTGTTTACTGCAGCCAAATATAATTACATTTATTGGGAAACAACTCAGAAACATAAACACAAACAATTGTAATTCATGCGTGGCTCAAATTAATGTGAAACGTAATCGGAATTGCACGAAAAATAATAAGACAACTGAATAAGCAAGTCAATATAAAGATTAACGAGTCACAATTAATGATTTAATGAAATCTCAATTGCAAAGTTACTTAGGCAGTGTTACAAACTCGTTAGGCAAGACATTTTAAAACAATAACAAACACGCGAGTAATGACAAATGCACATTAACAATAATATGTGGGTTAATATTTAGAAAAGTCACCTTGAGTTTCCCTCACTCAAGCTCTCTTGCGGTTAACGGAAGAAAGATATAGCAATATTGACGTGATCACCACGAGGAAGAGGGAGCTTACAATACTGTCCACGGGAAAGCTAGTTGGAGTTGGAGGAGTCGGTGGAAGATGTAAGAGTTGCCACTCGGATGGAAGGTAGTATTCGTCGATGGCTGTTGATAGAGAAAATAGTACATGATCCACGTAATCTTCAACGGTTGCGTCGATCTCTACGTTGACGTCACAGAATGGCGATCTCAAAACGTCCACACGTCCTTGGGAATCAAGACGAATCTATGATCAACATCCAGATCGGCCATGCATAGTTGTCAAAGAGAAAATGTAGAGAGGGAGAGGAGGGGACGGCCAAGCTAAGGGGAGAAGGAGAAAAATAAATCTGAAATTAATTTCAGATTTAGTGAATAATTAGGGATTAATCTTCTTTGAAATTTGAATTTGAAATAAGTGAAGATTAGGAGGGAAAGAAGGGAGGAAATGAATTAATTAGATCCCTTAAATTATGGGATCTAATTAATTAAAAGGAATGTTCCGGCAGCTGGGCTAGGCTGCAAAGGTGGCCGACGGAATGTGGAGGAGTTGGGTAGGGGTGGCGGTTTGGGAAGGAGAAAAATGGGAAGAAGGCTGTCGTCGGCTATGGAGGAGAGGGGATGTGGCCGACTGTTTGGGGGAGAAAAAAGAGAGGAAAAGAAAGAAAGAAAAGAATAAAGAGAAAACAAAACCAACAGCTCACCCGCCGATGGGCTGTTGGGTACTCCGTTAGCCTCTCCTAGGCTTCACCACCACTCTCTAGAACTAAAAAAAAAGATCATGACAAAAGCTGAATTTCATTTCAAAAATATCATCCCAAATACAATAGTAATGACCTATATATATGTCTCACCAAAAAGAAAAGAAACAAAGACTAAAATGCCCTCAAGGCTACAACATCAAATGACCACCCATAAGGGTAAAACAATAAAATCTAAAAATAAAAATAAACTACTACATAAAATGGCTTAAAAATATAAGCTCCAGATCGTAACCGTCGGTCTCCGGTGTCTCCTCTGATAAACACGCCGAAATCTCCTGCTTATGTCCTCATCACAAACTCATCAAATGAAACATTTACAAACATTTTTCTATTCATAAACGGCTCATGAATCCTTCAACTCTAAAGATGCAGTTTCAGCATATTCTCAAAATCAAATTACAATCAAGGAAAAGCTCTTAATTAATTTCAATATTCACATTCTCATAATTCCATGATGAAATTAACATAGCCAAAATTAAGGTTCAACAAAATTGTGGGAACCTAAGACTTGAGTCAGTCAATAAAATAATTAAATGGAAAAGTTTAAAACTCCAAACCTAAAGTCCAATAAAGATAGGTTTTTGAACAGGGAGACAACATCAAATACGAACAAAAAGTTTTAGCACAAGACTTTACCAGGCCGTTGTTATTGTTTACCAAATTCTTGTTTCTGCTCTAGGAATTTATTATCAGGTCAAATGTAATAATGTTTTGAAACATTATTTTTTTTTTCTCCTCGGTTGGCCGGCCAAGGAGAGAGGAAGAGGGAGAGATTGGGTATTAATGAGGTTGACCCAAGTAATTAGTGGCTTATTATCTAAAATCTGAAATTAATTTCAGATTGGAGGATTAATAGGGAAGTTTCCTAGGAATGAATCACATTAATTGAAGGGAATTCAAAATTTAAATTAATTTGAATTTGATTTCAAATCCTTTCCAACTTAGTATTAATCCCAAATAGGAAACTAATGAAGGCTAATTGAAGGGACCCAAAGGGAGCAAGGGAGGCCGAAAGGTTGGGGATTTGGAGGAGGCGACGGGTGGGGGAAAACCACCAATGTTCTGGCAGCTGTGCTAGGCTGGAAAGGTGGCCAACGGAATGTGGAGGGGTTGGGTAGGGGTGGCGGTTTGGGAAGGGGAAAAATGGGAAGGGGGCTGCCGTCGGCTATGGAGGAGAGGGGATGTGGCCGACTGTTTGGGGGAGAAAAAAGAGAGGAAAAGAAAGAAAGAAAAGAATAAAGAGAAAATAAACCAAAAGCTCACCCGCCGGTGGGCTGTTGGGTACTCCATTAGCCAGCCTCTCCTAGGCTTCACCATCACTCTCTAGAACTCAAAAAATGATCAAGACAAAAGCTGAATTTCATTTCAAAAATCATCATCCCAAATACAATAGAAATGACCTACATATAGGTCTCACCAAAAAGAAAAGAAACAAAGACTAAAATGCCCTCGGGGCTACAACATCAAATGACCACCCATAAGGGTAAAACAGTAAAAACTGAAAAAAAAATACTACATAAAATGACTTAAAAAATATAAGCTCCTGATCGTAGCCGTCGATCTCCGATGTCTCCTCTGATAAACATGCCGAAATCTCCTGCTAATATCCTCATCACAAACTCATCAAATGAAACATTTACAACCATTTTCTAGTCATAAAAGCTCATGAATCCTTCAACTCTAAAGATGCAGTTTCAGCATATTCCCAAAAGCAAATTGCAATCAAGGAAAAGCTCTTAATTAATTTCAATATTCACATTCTCATAATTTCCATGATGAAATTAACATAGCCAAAATTAAGGTTCAATAAAATTGTGGGAACCTAAGACTTGAGTCGGTCAATAAAATAATTAAATGGATAAGTTTAAAACTCCAAATCTAAAGTCCAATAAAGATAGGTTTTTGTACAGGGAGACAACATCAAATAAGAACAAAAAGTTTTAGCACAAGACTTTACCAGGCCGTTGTTATTGTTTACCAAATTATTGTTTCTGCTTTACGAATTTATTATCAGGTCAAATTTAATAATGTTTTGAAACATTATTTTTTTTTTCCTTTTACCCTTTAACTAAAAATAGAAAGGAAAAACAATGAATAAAGAAAATATTCAGCATTCACGAAAATTCTAAACAAGTAAATAATGCTGAAAAAAACATAATAACGAGAAATTAACCACCGACCACCCAAAGTAAGACTCGAGGTTTTCTTGTTGTAATGTTGTCAGTAACCAGCTTAAATCCTTGGTGTGCATCAATAATTTCCACTATAGTCATTGCACCAAGCAAGAAAAATACTATTTCACCCACTTCAGCAGATGCTCTTGTTAATTCAGTAACTGCAATATCTGTTGAAGGAGCCTGCATCATAATGGATATCATATAATAAACGGCAAATAAAATTATATCAAACAACTAGAGCGGACAGTTAGTTTAAATCAATCATTAAAAAAGAGCTGAAATCCTGACTCAGCTGCTAAACAAATGTCACAATAATCGCTGAACAGTTTAGCTTATTGTTAGACCGGTCTAGCCGGTCCACACGGGACCGGCCCAGGCGAAATAGAGGTCGAAGTTCCGCCTCCTGTACGCACCGAACGAGCCGCCAATTTCAGAAAAGCTGTTTAGGAAAGATTTTTTTGAGGGAGTTTGGAGGGAAATTTGAATGTAGGGATTGTTTAGAGATTTCCTTCAAGTTTTCCAATCAAATTGGTATCAAAGCAATTTCCTGGGTTGAAATAGAAGTCTTCCTCGTTGAATTTTTGTTGTGTTCCGTATCCGATCTTGTTGTTTTTTGCTGATTGGAGGCCAGCATTCACATCAAACTTGCGGCTCTTGATATTGGAGCCTCACTCCAAGTTCCCATGGAAGGAAGAAGGTAAAAGGGAAGATTGGACAATTGAAAACTAAAATTTAAATCTACATAGTCAAACTTTCAGATGTCAAAAGTCAAATTTCAGCCATCCACGAGAAGATGGATGGGAGTTTTTCCAGCCAGGGGAAGATGTTGAAGAAGTTGCTCGAAGACCAATCCAGAATGGTATCATCAGAGGTGAGGGAAGCCTCTGACAATCTAGGAACCGAGAAAACTCTAATTCAATAAGGCAAAGGGAAGATCATGAGGTGAAGACTCAAAAGGAAAAAGAGAGAATGTCTACCCTAGAACTTGTTCCAATGGGAGAGCCAGGTTAGGTGGTCTAGGGAGAAGCGTGAGGAGGTGGAGCATGAACAAAGAGGTGCTGAAATGGAGAGGAGAGGGACTGGAATTGAAAGGAGAGTGATTTATTATGATCCAAGGGGTGCTGAATTTTAAAGGAGACTGTAAGAATTTGATGAAAGGTTTGGGTATGAGCGTAGAAGAGATGATTGGGACACTTGGGGGGAACCACCCCATTGGAAAATGAGAGATTATGAAGGGAACAGAGGGAACGGAGGCAATCCGAGGGTGAGGAAACTGAAGTTTCCAATCTTTGAGGGGGAGGATGCGCACTGGTGGATCTACAAGTTAGAAAGATATTTCGTCGTCAATGAGTTGACGAAGGAGGAGAGACCGACGACAGAAGACCTATGTTTGGAAAGGAAGGCTTTGTCTTGGTACCAGTGGAGGGACAGCCGATGACCCATACGGAGTTGGAGAGAATTCAAGGATTGTTTGGTATAACATTTTTGAGCTAGTAAGGGAGGAGACTTCTACGAGCAGTTCTTCGCCTTGACATAGGATGATTCGGCAATGGAGTACCAGCAGAGATTCGAGTACCTCTTGCTAGCAGATTGGACTGCCTTCCTGAGATAGTGCTAGAGGGAATATTCATGAAGGGACTAACACCAGATATCCGAGCAGCGGTTAGAGTAATGAGGCCTCGTGACTTGGGAGAGGCTATTGAGCTAGCTCAATTGGTGGAGGATCAGTGGCACCTGGAGAGAGAGACAGGAAGCAACAGCTCAGTTTCATATGTAACAAGAGGACCACTACCTTTCTAGAACCCAAGGAGCAGACACCTGATACTTTTTGGGAGATTTCAAAGGAGAAGACTATAGGAGTAAGACCTGGGGACAACTTCAAGAAGCTTACAAAAACTGAATAACAGGAGAAAAGGGTGAATGTGCTTTGTTTCATATGTAACGAAAGGTATACGCCGGGGCACGAGTGTAAGGACCAGAGTCTTCAGGTTCTTACCATTTGTGATGAAGAGGAAATGAAGGAGAGTGTTGTCTTTCCACCTTGCAGACAAGGTGAGTTTTTGGGAGGGGAGTATTATTAAACTGAACCACTAGACCAGCCCAGGCGAAGCAGAGGAGGAAATTCCACCTCCCCTGTACGGGCCGTACGAGCCGCCGATTCAAGAAAAGCTATTTAGAAAAGATTTTTTAGGTAGTTTGGAGGGAAATTTGAATGTAGGGACTATTTAGAGATTTTCTTTTGGATTGTATTCATCAAATAGTTTGTTTTAATAGGGTATGGCATCTTGAATTTGACTGAAATTTGAGATCTCTTAGGTTTCTTTTGTGCTCTAGCGGCATCTAGAGATCCTCCTCTCGAATAGAGGATCAATTGAATCTTGTTATTTTCTTCAGTTAGTTTGTGTTTTTGCAATAAAATTCTTGTTTTTCTCTGATTTTCTATTGAATGTGTGGAGATTTCTCACTATTTTTCCGAAATTGATAGGATTTACTTGAAATCTTCAAGTGTTTCCTATCACTTATGTAACATAAGGTGAATCTCCACATACAAATTAATATTATATTTAATGTAAACCTTTCTGGCATATTTTGTCCATGTTACCAGAAAATGGTTAGTATATTGGAGCTGAAGACATGGCCCACGTGATGTGCTGATGTTAATTAAAAGGGGACAATAACCATTATAGTTTTTCTAAAGTAGGATATTGTAAATCTCCTTAGTTCAAAATCTATAATGCTACTAGAACGTGGCTTGAAACCTTATTAATAAAGTTCCAGGCAGTTGATCCTCATTGTTGATAATTTCTCTAATTAATTATACAATTCAGCAAAATAACTCATTTAAATCCTACTTCCAACATTTTAGTTACTTTTGTAGAAACAGTTTAGTAATTCATAAAATGGACGAGTAGCCAAATGGCCTTGTATTTTCATCATTTTTCATTAACTATCCAACCATTCTTACAAATTTTTTTTTAAAATATTTAGAAAAAGCAAACAATTGCATCATCAAAAGATATATATTGCACGTACAATGCTGTAGATAAACCAATAAATAGAAGTTAAAGGTTTTATATTATTTTCTTTCCCGTTTGACAATTGTGGGATGATCCTTCGAATATATAAGTTTGTATTTTTCTCATCCATTGATATTTAGAGATTTATGTATAGCACTAAGTCCCAATATATGAAATTTTATGCACTTTTGAATCAAAATATAATCCTTATTACAAATTCACTCAAATGCAATTTTATGTTAAATTATTAGTCCGTCTGTGAGCTCTTTTAATATCCACATGAGCTTATTAAATAGCATCTGTAAGTTATTAAATTTTTCTAACTTTATTAAAATCTTAATTACATTTAAGTCTACTTTGCCTTTAATATTAAAGGGATATATGATTTTATTAATGTTGAGGGAAAGCCTAAAGCAGTGCTCAAGTTTCCTCTAGTGTATTATGAAAATCCCAAATTTGTGTAATTGAAATAACCACTCTACAAATGCAAGGATAAAATGCCTAACAATAAACCCTCCGCAAGAATTGCATTAACGAGAACTCCATGCATTAGGTATTCCCCATTTATATTCTTTTATTAGCATAATGGACTCCCTTTTCTCAATTAGAAGTAAAAAAAAATGCCTCGAGACTTATTCCCTGAGCATTTTTATGAGGTGCGTGCCTCAATTTGGCTAAAGAACACCTCATCTCACTAGCATGGGGCGTACGCCTCACCCTAGTTATATATTTTTTAGTAAAACTTACCTAAATCCTAAACTAAAACTGTGAACATATCACTCCTTCATACTCCCCCAAGACGCAATAGCTTCCTCTCGACTGCCACAACCCTTAACGCACCACCGAGGTTCACTTGAAAATTGCACACTAGGGGTATCAAAAATTGACACGACCCGAAACCTGACCAGGTCCCAACCTAGAAAAATTCGAGTTTGGGTCAACTCGTTTGTGAAATGGGTCGGGTCCATGTTTGGTTTTCCAACCCGTTTGAAAAACCGGTCGGGTTCGGGTTGACCTAGAAACCCGCGAGTCAACCGAAATTGGCCTGTTTTTCAAACGTGTCACTTGTCTCGTCACCCAATCGCATCGCTCAGCCGCTCAGGGTCGCATCAATATGTCTTGTCACTCAAAGTCGCGTCACGCCGTCACCACTGTCGGCCTGCCAACATCCCGCCCAAGCTGCCGTGATTTGCCTACTGGCCTTCTGTCGTCCCGCCCACGCTGCCAAAATGCTACTGCCGTCGTTGAAGGCTTGAAGCCAGCGATAACCCAAAGAGCTGAAGACTGCCACTGTCATCCCGCCCGCAAGCTGCGGCTGCCACTGTCGCCTTCCCGCCTGAGATGCCGTTGTCGACCTATCGTTGTCCCGCCTCAGAGCCGAAGATTGTTGCCGTTCGTCCCTCGCGGGTTGGGTCGGGTCAACCTGGTAACCCGCACAGTCGGGTCAGGGGTTACAATCCTAAGCCGTTTGCAAAACTGGGTAGGGTTTAGTGTTGACCTGTTTAAGGTCGGGTCAAATCCGATTCGACCCGAATCCGACACATTGACTCGGATTGACACCCATACTGCACACCAACACCACATTGACACCCATACTGCACACCAACACCACCTCGAAAATTTTTTAGTTTGACTCACATCTTTATGTTGATGGCAAAAATTTATGAAAGAAAAAAATGAATAAAATAAATAAAGAAGAAACATATTGTGAGGTATTGGACTCCACAAGATGAGACAAGGGATCAAATAAAGACAGTGATGACAGTGTAGATGATTTCTAGGTTGTTGCCAATTATTTCAACTTTTTGTATAAATTAAATATAAATGAATAGAGGATTAGGAAAGAAGAAATTTAGAATTGAACTTGATGTTGCATGATATTTTTAAACAATTCCTATATTTTATGTTGTTTTGCTCTACGAATATTTGAATTTCAATTCTATTTCACGTAATTTATCACTTACTACTTTATGCCTAGTGTATAGGAGGACCCTGGACCGTCTAAAATCCACAAATATAATTTAAACTTCAAAGATCATTACCTTAAGCATTAAAATGGATCAACAAATTAAATTAACTAAAATGGATCCCAATTCACTAATATTTAAATTTTAATTAAAGTGTCTTTTTCAGATCTTCAACAAATCTGAACTCTAGACAATT